AGAGATAAGTGTTGAATCGTTGAAGAACAGATACCATTTGATACCAAAGAGTATTTCATATATGCTAATAAATATACTTATAGATGGTAAAATAATTTATGTGTCCACTTCGATAATTTTTTGACTTGTGAATCTTATTTTGACATTTTAAGAGTACTTAAATTGATTAATCCTATAAGGTAGGTTATGGGCTCTAACTCCTTTGGATCCTTATAAGTCAAAACCCAGAGTTTATGTGTGGAATGAGCTCACAATCAAAATGATGCACTCAGCTCAAATATCAGCAGAAAGCAGAATTGTAAAGTACAATGTTGCTATGGAAAACACCATGTGTTTACATGCAGAATATACGGATGAATAATAGGTTGTGCATAATGGCACAATGTGAAAAAAGATACCACGAAAGTCTCATTTTAAAATTCGGTGATGTAGCAGAATTTGCAGATATGACTTGGATATCCGAAGTATTATTTAAAAGATGACAATCTCCTTTTATGCCATTTGAAATTAACCTCATATATCTCCTCTATCGAGACGTGAAAAAGGAGGTGCACAATGCCTCGACGCAACTTATAAGATTCTGATATACTTGATATACTTAGAATGATTTGTAGATAGGAGATTAGTGTCCTCGAAGATATAGGGGCCTGTGGGTGGACACCTTCATCGTGATAAAAATAAAAATTCAACTCTCTCACCTGTTCTTAACTCTAGCAGAAGAACTTTGCTTGATTACATGAATCCTAATTCACCGGCCTCCTTCCTGTGTACTCGGAAATCAAAACAATATTGCATCATCATTAAAATTACTTTTTCAGGTTGTTATGGTATAATACTTCATGCATCAGCATATGATGAGGAAAAATGGATTCAGTGGCGAAAATCATGACGAAAAGAATTCAAAAGACATTTGTAGATTAGTTGGTGTGTTTCAGCGGTTAAACAATTGATTATTTTAATCAAAGTATACGTAACATGTCAACTGGGGCATTATTTTTTATGTTAAATTCTTATTCATGAAAAAGTTTTATAATCGTAAACAATCCTCTACATGAAACACAGATGCAAGAATTCATTGTTACATTAACCTCGGAAAAATCCTCTCTATACACAGCTGAGAATTATATATTATATAGTGCTACACATAAGAACAAATGGATGTAGCAAGAGAGATAATCACTTTTGTGCACGAGAACACCATTTCTCGTTTATTCATAATTTCGAAGAAATAATTAAAAATATATTTTTAAAAAATATATAACCATAGGTGTACAGTCACGTTTTTAGAATGCTTTATAGATACTGCTTTATTGACCATATAATATCTGAATAAATGAGTAGTTCTTTAAAAGAAAATACCAATAAGTGTTTATATTTCACTTACTTTAATATAAAGTAAACAACATTGAACAGAAAAATTTAATTATTTATAAGCTTTAAGGAAAATATCTTAGGGATACCTTTGAACACAAACTCAAAATGTCTAGGGCAGCGATTGCATTAAGGACAAAAAACCTTGCTTGCGACATTGTTTCGAAACATAATAAGTAATATAACCTTTAACCATAAAATATCAAAACCATTATTACAATGTTTCTGTCGAAACATTTTCAAAAACTTTTGGACAGTTTGACATCACAAGATTTTACCAAAATCAACAGCTTAAAAACTTACGACCTTTCAACTTTATACACAACTATTCACCACGATAAATTAAAGTCCAGACTTTTTGATTTCTTTGACAGCTGCTTTTTCAATAAAAATCGGACTCGTAAATTTACTTACCTTGCCATTGGTCATTGCAAAATTATTTTGGTAAAAAAATTCAACTCTGAAGCTGAGATAAAAAACATGCTTGAGTTTCTGATTGACAATATCAATGTGGTTTTCGGAGACCGAGTCTTCCAACAATCTATGGGAATTCCAATGGGTACCAATTGTGCCCCGCTCTTAGGAGACCTATTTTTATAGTCATATGAAACAGAATTTGTTCAAAATCTTTTCCGTGAAAAGAAGTAAACACATGTTATGGCTTACAACTTGACAGTTAGATATATTGACGACGTATTGTCAATTAACAATGCTTATTTTCGTTCATATGTCCACACGATATATCCCGGTAAGTTTGAGATAAAAGATGCCACAGAGTCTGACACATCTGTTTCATATTTACATGAAAAAGACGTTAATGGTAATCTAAAAACCAAGCTCTATGAAAAACGTGGTAAATTTTACTTTTCAATCGCAAATTTCCCTTACTTGTGGAGCAATATACAACTGAATACGGAGTTTATATCTCTCAGTTGATTCGATACCCGAGAGCATATTCTACATATGTATAATTTTTAAAACGAAGTAAATTATTGACAAACAAGTTGATGAAACAAGAATATCAGCAGTCTCGTTTAAAGTCATCATTTTGTAGGTTTTATGATCTATACAATGACCTTGTCAGCAAATACAATTTATCTTTGAGTCATTGCTGACTGATGTTTTTCAAACTATTGTTAGTCCATTATTTAAACCAATTTTCTTGCAATAGTTTTATGCCATCTATTCCAACTGCTGCCGCTAGAAAATTCATGCAGGTTTGTTGACAAATTGACAGGGGATGCGTAATCCTCTACGGCACCTGACCCCACCCCTGTGTTTTTGAGGTCTTTAACTATTTGTTCATCTCCTGATTTGTGTTGTTTTCATGGATCTTTGAGACTTGAATACTGTTCGTTATCTCCATTTGTCATTATATCAAATGTTTCCCTGAGACACTTTTTTGGGGGTACTCGTAATGAATGCAAGAGAATAACACAATACACATAAATATATTTCTCAGTACATATAGCAAAAAAAAATATGGTTCTATATATATTATTAAACATATGCTACATAGAAAGAATGTTTTCGAAAACATTTGTTTTAAAATTAAATTAAAAAAAAAAATCAGGATATTTTTTGACATACCGGGGTATTTTGCAACCGAAGATATTCAGTTTGTTAAAATGCGTAACGTGTCCGTAAATAGTTACAATCACTGCATGGTTCAGATGCAATTAACAGTGATCGCCCAAAGCTGATCAAAAACCACCACAAAATTTGTACATAAAGGAACTAACAGAATAAGAATAGATTTTTTGTATCAGAATGAAATAGAAGTTCAAAAAATATACTTATAAATATACTAGACTCAGAGAGTTTCGAATTGTCACATTTATGACATTATAGTAATATAATTCAATTCATCCAATTATTAGCAGCATGTTCCAAGTATTATGCTTTTACGAGTTGCTGTAAAACATCCATAGCCCTGAGCAAATTATATCGTAAAGATATTCTTAAACACAATTACATGTACATGCATAAGCCTTTGGCTTCACCTAAAATGCTTTGATATGCGATATGCGACGTTTTATGCTTCACCAGAAAGTGGACTTCTAGATCAAAGTGTGAAGATCCAAAGTGAGAGTTGATAAAAAGGAAGTGGTTAAAGGAAAGTACTCGCCACCCACACCCTCATGTACATGAACTCAATTTTCGATGACAATTTTTAGAAATTGACGAAACTAAGTGGTAAATGTAATGGGCGTTTCGTGTCAGTTATGGTGCTTATTCTAGTAATAATCTGACAACATCCATTATGACGCATTTGCATAAAGATCATATTGTATATTTATCAAATACTAATAACCATAAAGCTATAAAAACGGTGTTGTAGAGTTAGGATTTCCTCTAAAATAGCAAACTGTTCGTCCAAAACATGTACTCTACAGTAACTTTCCGTCTGAGTGGTAAACTTAATCTAGAGCCTAATTTCTCGTTTTTCTTTTTCAGAGTTGGATTTCTACTTATTTATCAATCCTAATATCAAAATATTTTGCCGATTTTTTAATTTTTTTTTTAATACAAAAACCGCTTTGCGGTTTATAAAGCGTAAATTGCCCCAACCCAGGTTACTAATATACAACTTGGGTCGCTATTTAATTAATTCCTTTTGTAACTTTTACACAGAGAAGGATTTACCTCCAGTAAATTGTATTTGATTTCCGTAGTCTAAACTCATTTTTTCGAGGGTCAAACCCTACTCTACATCTTATTTTCGGGAGGGGGCTGCTTTTGTGTCAGTTAGATTTTGAGGAAAGGATTTCAGACAGGAAAATCCTTCTCTTAAAAAATGTTGCAAAAACCGTTACTTTTTAAAACGTTATAACACAATTATTTAATATATAAGTACATGTATTTTTTGCCTATGGACAGTAAAACGAAGGAACATTTTGCAAACATTTCAAAAGATTCATTTGCATACAAGTCTCGAGAAATCCTGAAAAAATATTAATTAGTCTCTCTTCTATGCTGTTGGTTTCGCTGTTCGGATTAAAGAATAATCAAGCTTAATCTAATCTGTAGAATCAAGTGCATACAAATTAAGTCATCCTCTCGTGTCTTCGAGCAGAGCTAATCCTCATCATTAGAATATAAGGACAACTCAGTTGACATCTTGGGAATAAATATTGTCAGGAACAGGTCTATTGCTCTCTACTTTTATAGTACTACTTCAAAGACTTCCTTGCGTGCATTCTTGCATTTAGTCCCACGTCTTGGTTCAGATGATCTCTTAACAGCCTCACGGTACAGAGAAAACCTCAATGCGATATGCAAATGCAGTCACTTGCATTCTCTGTCTTAATGGCGGGAAGATTCCTTACTTGTTAAATTACATATAAGAATAATGACGATGTGGAAGCGAGCTAAGTCAGTTCTACGAGAAAAAAGAAGCTTATCAGAGATTGGAATAGACAACGACAGGCCTTTAACTAAAATCAATCAACCTATACCTTGCAAAATAACACATTTTTTTCAAGCATGTTGATCAAATGATAGAGATAAACGCCTTAACCTTTTCATATTAAACAACAAGAAGATCAATAATATCAGAGAGCCTACAAAGATAATAAAAGAACATATACTGTATTCAATAACTGTGATGATGCACACACAAATGATTTTTTATATTTTATTTTAAAACGACTTTTTGGGAATAGGTAAAGTTGATATATCTTTCATAAATTATTTGAACACTGATTCTACCACTCCTTAAATTTATAGTTCCTCATTTGAAGATTAGCTTGTATAATAAAGGAGTATATTTTTATTTCAAATTGCAATACTTTATTTAAAAACACTTCATTTATTTATTTTCTCTAGTATAAAAGCAAGAAAAAACACAAAGTAATGCATCTTTCAGGAGAGAAAAACATTCTGATCGAAAATGTTTGTTGAGGAAACTAAATATAATAGGATTCACTGCCATGCTGAGCATATAAGATCGGAACAAAAGGTGGTAAAGATTCAACTCTACCACAGACAGATTATTCATTGAAAGATGTTGCCGATGTAAATCTACGATACCTAGTACGCCAAACGGTAAGAAGGTAAGTATGTAGACTATTGTAACAGTAAAGAGCATGAAGGTAGTTTTTCTTGCTTTGAAAGACGGACCAAAACGTTTTCCTTCGCTGTTGCTAAATGTAGAGCTTCGATGTTTCTGCGATTCAGTATTGGTCTTCAACAGGGTAAGAAGACTTCCAATGGCCTCACTTCCGGAGCGACCACGCGATTCAGGTTTGTTTTCTTGTTGGAGAAACAGGTCTGTCTTTGCAAATGAATTATAACCATTTCCGTCGCCTTTGCTAAACAAACTCATGGTGCTCTTTCCTTTTTCTTGGGTAAAATCAATAGAAGTCCGTGATTGATCAGGAATGTTACAAATGTCATTCTCTGATTTGCAACAAATCCTTGCTGTTTCCAAGTTCGTGTCTTTACTTTTGACAGTCTTATTTTGTTGCTGATAAATCGTATATCCTATCAATGAATATATGGAAATGAAGATAATATCTCCAATTAATGACGTAACGATGATAAAAACAACTTGCGCTGTTACATAATCAGAATTTTTATATTGTGTTGCAAAATAGCAAGTTTTAAATCCGATTTCCTCGTATGTTCCGTAAAGTAACAATGCAGGCCAGTTTGTTAAAATTCCTAGAAATAATGAAAGTGCAACAATCAATCTGGCCTGTCGCATTGTCAAAGATCCGAGTTTAAATCCATATCGAATGCCCAATAATCTGTCAATAGCTATTCCCAAGAGAATAACAGTAGAAGCTGCATTTAAACCATAAGTCATAAATCTTGACAGTTTGCAGACGATGGGAAAGTCAAATGATATGTAGTTGGATACAAGAGCTATCTCGAACGGCATAGTGACGAAACAATTTACGAGGTCATATCCAGCTAGTACTAGGATGAAAAGAGTAGAGGGTTTCTTTTTTATTTTCCATTTGATTTTATAAACATAACACACTAAAGCGTTTCCAATTATTCCTACCACGAACAGAATACAGACATAAACTAAAGTAGGTAGAAACTGTGTCACCAGTATCTGGTTGTTATAATTCCTATAATTGTCCAGTAAAGTCGACGATAGTAGAGAGGAGGTAATATTTAATGGAGGAAACGTTTTATTATCCGTTGTTGTTGACACGCTATAATTCCACAAATTGCTCATATTTGAAACATTTATCTTCGTCTCGTTTTATAAAGGATGCTCGTACTATATCCTGTAATAAAAAAATATAAACGTTATTGCATTGATGTTTTGAATATCTGTAACTTAATGAAATTATTGAATATACAGTATATCAACTTAATTTAACTAGTTAAAATAATGTTTTTTCTTATACTGTAGGAACTGGATTTCTCCAAAGATTTGCATGAGCCATATTTAGCAGTTCTCAAATTTCTGCATATCTGTTGATGATCCTGTATAATTTTAAGCATTTGAAAAATATTTCTCTTCAAAACTTACCCCTTTTATGCAAAAAGCTACATAAAAGACTCCATCATGGTTGCCTGATTTTATTGGTTTTTGGTAACTGGGGAGCACAGTTAAGGTTAAAGTAAGGAGGCAGGGCAATGTTTTCTATGACGTCACACATGATATAAGGTCTTCAAAATACCACAAAATGAAATTATTTGCTATTTCAAACAGCCGGATAGCTGTTTACTACATACAAATTTACTATTACATGCATTTTTGTCATTTGTTAAATCCCACACAACAGTATATGAACGATGCATCGATCGCAATGCACTTGTCAATGTGACGTCATCTCGCAAAAATGACACAGTTTGTACACAGTGAAAGGCTGATCAAGTCACATTTTGTATAATGAAAAACGTCTCTTGTTCTCAAATGAAATATTATTTGCAATTAAATAAAAGGCTGTTAACTTGGATGCGATATCTAATTTAGTATTTTGTTTATAAACTGTCCATACATTCTCAAGACAAATGATACTGACGTGTGTTTGTATGCAGATTTATTAAAAAAAGTAAAGGAAGGGCCCTAATAAATCGATTTATTGCAAGGGCATACCCTCAATGTATCTTGTCATGTTTTTACACATAAACCCAAGAAGCATTAAGATATTTGAAAAGTGCTGCGAACCTCATGAAATCTTGCAAATAAATTAATTATAGCTATAGTTAATGTAGTTGACCAGCAAAATATTCAACCCGCCGTCCAACAAATTAAATTTTAGCAATTAAAAAAAGGGAATCTATATAGGTTTGCATCACTTTTCACAAACTACAAATAGTGCTGAAAATGATTGTAAATTAAACTAAGATTTTTAACTTGGTTATGCCCTTGCAAATATTGGAATTTATAGATGACCTCTAAACTGCACGTATAATTGCTAAAATCATGTGACGTCGACATCACGTGACAAGTCTAAATAAAAAATCTAAATGTCCCCAACATGTAGATTTTAACCACACCACATTTTTTTTATATCAATGAAATCCTAAAAATAAATCGCCCATCCAAATAAAGTATGTATTTTTTATCTTAAGAAATCGCCGATATTTCCATTTGTAACCTTAACTGTGCTGCGTGACCAGTCAGTGCTGAAAATGCTCGCTCCTTTGAAACTTCCCTAACAACATACACCTTTTTATACTTACCACTACCCCTGCATTCCTTCCTTACTTAAGTCTACATGTGCTTGGTATTTTAAATATTGATGTGCCGTGTTTTGCTGTTTTTTCATTATAAGTATTATATAGTAATTACATAGGTGTATAGTATTTTTATAATCTTTTGTTTTATTTGAATGGTATTTTGATTGAATTGCAAACTGTAAATAACCATTATTCTGTTCTATTATATGTATCATGTTATGAAACTTTTGTCATCATTTTTGTATTTTTTGTTTTGTTTTGAGTAGTTCAAATATGATTTTTTGCAATTTTAATTATACAGTATCATAAATCATGCATTAATTTAAAGCAAAGACAAGTAAGCATTTGCTCCATAAGTGTAAACGGTGTAAATGAACAAAGAGTCTTATGTTTCAAGTTTGGTGTTGCTTAAACTGTTCTTAAATCAGCAGCAACATGTTCTGAAATGGGATTGTTCAGTTCAAGAAAACATACACAATTAACAATTCCGTGGGTTTAAATGAAAAACAAGGTTGAGCTGAAGTTCAAATGTGCTACATTACATGTATCCTTAAATTTTCTCAAAATGTTGTATGTTAATATTTTGGCATTGCCCATTAATTCTACATTGTTGCATTGTCAACAATTACGTCCAAACATTCTCTTTTCCAGGAAATAGAAAAAAAACCCCTTAATTTACAACTGGTTTAGCGTTACATCAAGTATAACCAGATTAAACGAATGCACTCTTATAATTTATTAATTTGCATTATCGATCGAATAGTGCAGCTAGATTTATTGTAAAAGAGGTGATTAAAGTGTATGAACATCCATGTTGCTTTTTACTGCTTCATATATACTGACAATATTGGAACTAATAAATCTGAAAAAAAAAAAACTTGCAAAAATCAATCGATTAATAAGGGTAACAAAATGATTCAAATATTGCTAAAAGCAATGTATAATGATCTTGTTAACTGAAGAAAACTTGCCATATAATTTTAACGTGTAAATGGAGTTATTTTGCCTAAGGCAACGAATTTAATTGAGAAGCCTTGCTTGTTGAATTACACGCAAATGACAGATTCTATGAAGTCAGCAAATTTTATGTATGAATTCGAAGAAAATGTATACAGTACAGTAGTGATTGATGCCATCATTGAAATTTTCGTTTTTCCTCTTTCAAATTTTTTTTTACTTTAAGTTTTAGTACAGTATTTTCACTTCATACTAAAAAGAGAAAGCTTTACAGTATCTCAACAGTGTTGCAATGGAATTAAATTTTTGGGATGTGCTTAAGTTTAGACAAGGCTGTAATTTTGTACTTGTATTGATTATATTTTTTATATTGGGTGCAAAAGATGGCAAACAATCAGAAAATGTATCAAATCAATAGTTTGATGAATATACAGCTTAGTTTTATTTTTAATAACCTCATAGAAATACTTGCAATCAATATTTTTAAATTGTAATATTACCCTACGATCTATAGAAAAATGTATACACTTTACAAATTTACAATTATCATACTGTAACAGTATTATTGAAAAATGAATGCTATAAACGATTCGAATATTATATAAAGTTACTTTAAGATAAAATAACTATTTTAAAAAAAGAAAAGAAAGGAACTCTTCTATTAAAACACCATAGTTGTCGGATTCTTATCTATTAAAGATGGAAAATGTTAGTGTTGCATTTAACCAGATTTTTTAAAAACAAAATACTTTCTTTCATCATACAAATTTGAATTTTACATATTTAACAATATATAGCTTAAGTGTAATAAAAACATTTTTTAAATTCAGTAATACACGCCTTTGGTTCTTTTTTTTCAATATCAAGACGAAGTACCTACCAGTAAATAGCGCCGTGCAGATAGACATTGAATGCTGTGACATTACCCTAAATCTCACCTGCATCAGTATATGCAATTTACTAAAATTCCAATTCACTGTAGTTTTCACACACCAAATAAAACGTCCTCCTACACCCAATATTTAACAGTGTAAACTAAGCAGTCATCAATGAAAATCTAAACGATAAATTATGCACAGTATGGACTTTCTGAGTCTCTGATATAAATTCCAAATTGATGCATAAACGTCGGGCGTAAAATTGATCGGTATGTTACATCGTTTCCCTGAGCTTTCTTTTTTTTATTCCTACAGAATCCTTGCATATTTTTTTCTCCTGTCTTCTTACTGTCTTGGATTGTTTTTGATCATGGATTATAAATCTAATGAATATATTGGTTCCTTTTCTTATACTGATTTCCTATTGACTTGAGTGTTTTATTTAGGCAAAATGACTGCATTTTATACACAACTAAAGAAACATGCATTAGCTAATTAATACCTTTTTCCTTTAGCAAATATATTTAACTTTTGATGCAAAGATTGTTTGCCATTAAATATTTACCAATATGCCATCAAACATTTGTCTTGTCTGAACCATAATTGCAGTCTAAAGTTCTTAACCTACATGAATAATATAAATCTACGACGACAAAACGTTCGAATTGGTCGTTTGACAAGAATTCGATTGAATACTTGAAGTCAAAACATCATCTATTCAAAATGCTTACATTTACTGGGTATCTATGTGCAGTATAAAACTAATATATGTACATTTTACTACAGTAAACTATATTCATGTACATTTTACTACAGTAAACTATATTCATGTATCTTGATACTACATTGTACATGTTGTACTATACGTTTATTTAGTTTGCTGTGTGATATTCCATTATAAACTCCAAAGATGTGTAACATGAATACATGTGTAATTTTTTTATTAACAAAAAGCATTGTCATGGAAATAATTTAAATTGTATAAAAATACAAATATATTTTGTTACGTGAAACGCCATATCATTTTACTCTATCATAATGGAGAAATCTGGAGGCTAAATGAAGATTGAATAATAGTTATACAATGTACATGATATGGTTATTATTTTAATTATGCGAGTCTTTTTCTAGCCACATTTCTTCACAGCAAAAATAAGAAAGACGGATATGGTCATCATCGATATGATAGGCAGTGATTTTATTGTCCTTAAATCACACCTCTCTCTCTCTCTCTCTCTCTCTCTCTCTCTCTCTCTCTCTCTCTCTCTCTCTCTCTCTCTCTCTCTCTCTCTCTAAAGATCCTCTTTGTGGACTCCTACAAGATGGCCAAATCTCATCAATTTTAAGATAACATAGTAATTTTTAAATTATTCAATTCATTTAATTGTTTTCCTTTTCATCAAAGATTCCTTAAAGGTCTTTTTATTCAGGTAAAACTTTTTAAATCAAGTGCTTGTTAGATGTAAAACTAGCAACATTGCAAGTGTGCTCCATAACTGTTGACGAATTTTACAAACGTCAAATTTCATTCTAAACCCGTTGAATTGGAATTATCCATGGCTGTTATATTATCGACATAAATATTTAACTAAATAATTAAATAATATGATAAAATAACTGATCGTGAGCAAAAGTATTTTTGTAAATGTCGCAAATATTTCTCATAAAAAAATTCAAAATGTTGTGATATTTTTTCTTATATCATTGCCTCTATAAGAAGAAGTAGGACAATAAA